AAAGTCATATACGCCCCAAACCAAGCTCTTCATTCATCTTTAGCTTTTTCATCTTTGCCTGGGAATTTGACATTGTATTGCAGTAGTGGCAACTTGGGGCTGCCCAATTAAAATTACAGTGTTTGGGAAATGGGCAGGTAATCCAGTTAAGCAAAGAAGCAGACCATTTCAGTAGACCCAAAATGGACATGTAGTATAAATAAGAAATGAACCAAGTCACTGGTATTTTATGAGTCATTACTACCATATAACGTAGCTATAATAAAGAGTTTGACTCAATTTTTGATGTTTGGTTATTGACAGTTTTTAATTCCTACAACTCCCCCTTCCTTTTTTTTTGTCCCATAGCAGGGCAAGCTGATAAGAAAGTCCAGTTGCTTCTCCCTTTTTGCACTGGTGGGAAGTTCAAACTACTTAAGACCTGGCTTGAGTGTGGAAACCCATCCCAACCTCATCCCATAACCACGTTAAGACCCTAAGTTAACTGCTGTTCCTTGCTCGCCCCAGAAAATTTTATTATGTGAATGATAAACCTTTTTCAGATCAGGTCCTCCTGGTGTATATGTGGCACCTTCAGTCTCTATACTGAAACCAATTTTGGGTAGGGTGGGCTATCCCACTGCTTCAGGGTGACAACAATTAGCCTATGTGACAGATACAGAAATCAGTAAAGATTTATAAGAAATTGGAAAAGACACCAGCTTAGGGACTGACTAGGCAGGAGGCCACATGGAGACTTTCACAGAAGGACTGAAAACAAGGTTAGCATTGTTTTAGACAGAGAATATAGGGGGGACAGGAAATGCTTGGTCTCTGACTCCTGGTATCCTGGCTCTTTTGTTTCATTGCATTGAAAAAATCAAAATAAAAGCTTAGCTCGAAAGAAGAAATATAGCTAACTTTGACAAGTACTAAAAGTAACACACTGGTGTGTGAATTGAAAAGGCTATACATACTACATATCCTATAATCCTACTTTTAAAGATATATTTCTGTGCTTATTTGTACAAAAAATCTAGAAATATACATACTCTAAGTGTTAATGCCAGCATTAAGTTAAGGAGGCAATTAGACTGAGGTGGTTCTAATACCTCAGCACCTTATCTAAGCAAACCAAAACCTAAGCCTGCAAATGCCTAAGGTTAAGAAATCGAAACCTAAGGACAACCAATCATAAACAGCCAACTCAGATTTCACAAATAATGTAACTGCCAAAGCTAGAGCCAATCAGATAATTTCCTTGCTTTGCTTCTGTCTCTTCTCTATAATAAGTCTTTTGCCTGGCTCCTGTCAGTAGAGTACTCCTAACTCTTCTGGTTTGGTGCTGCCCAACTTCAAACAATTTTGCTCAAATTAACTCTGAAAATTTTTATTTTATTTTTTTCAAATCCCCATCCAAAGATTTGTTTATTGATATAGAAAGAATGAGGGGAAGGGGGAGAGGAGAGACAAAGAGCAAGAGAGAGAGAGAGAGGAATATGGATGTGAGAGAGAAACATTGACTCATTGCCTCTCATATGCAACCTCACCAGGGATTGAACTCATAACCTGAAAATGTGCCCTGACTGGAAATCAAACCAGCAACCTTTTGGTGCATGGGACCATGCTCCAACCCACTGAGCAACCCAGTCAGGGCTTAAAATTTTTAATATGCCTCAGTTTATCTTTTAACACTGGTCAATCTCTGAAACTTAGATGGCTTCTATTAATTTTCCTCTTCTCTGTACTTTCTAATAATGAATATACATTTACAAAATAGAAGTTTAAAAATCATTGTATGTCATGAATAGAAGAGCTTTATTTCCCCACTGAGGAAAACCTTTATCCTCTTGTAAAAATGTGAGAACTTTACTCACAACAATATTTTATTAAGAATTGTTAATTTTCTTAAAAAATGTTAAATGTATCATACAAGCTATTGATATTTGAGCAGTCATTTTAAAAATAGAGCTTTTTGCCCTGGCTGGTGTAGCTCAGTGGATTGAGCTCAGGCCTGCGAACCAGACAATCACAGTTCGATTCCCAGTCAGGGCACATGCCTGGGTTGCAGGCCAGTTCCCAGCAGGGGATGCGCAAAGGGCAACCATACATTGATGTTTCTCTCCCTCTGTCTTTCCCTTCCCCTCTAAAGATAAATAAATAATTTTTTAAAAAAATAGAGCTTTTTATAGCATTTTAATCATGTACCAAAACATAATTTTGAATATTGTGAACCCTAATAACTAAAAGTAACAGAAGTCTTTGTAAATGTGGAAAAACATAAGATATATTAGTTAGAGAAAAGCAGCAAAAAACTAAAAATAAACTCTTAAAAATGTCAAATTTAAGTTCTCTGTTCAAATGAATTTATTCCTGAAATCAAAACACTTAATAAATGAGAAAAATGATGTAGAAAGGTGGTTAATGATAAATGTATCCTTTTGATGTTTGCAAATATTAAAATACATTCCTTGTACTATAGCTTGACTGTGGTAGTGGTTACACACCTATGTACATTTGCCAAAACTTATACCAATAGATTTAATAGTAAACCTATTATCATACTTTTCTTAATTAACTGTATACATGTAAATTACACCTCAATTAAGCTAATTTTTTTTACTTTAAAAAAAAATTTATTTAGTTATTTTTCAAGTACAGTTTTTTTTTTGTCATTTTCTCCCATCCCAGCCCCCCCCGCCCCGTCTCCCCACCTCCCTCCCATCCCCCCCCCCCCCCAGTCCTCATCTCTGCGTCCCTCATACTTGTTCTTCAAAATCCCTCCCCGTTTTTCCCCTTAAATTCCCTTCCCTCTCCCCTCTGGTCGCTGCCCACTTGTTCTCTATTTTAGTGTCTTTGTTTTTATTCTGTTTGCTTGTTTATTTTGTTATTTAGCTTCCTGTTAAAGGTGAGATCATATGGTATTTGTCCTTCAATGCCTGGCCTATTTCACTCAGCATAATGCTTTCCAGTTCCATCCATGTTGTTGCAAAGGGTAGTAGCTCCTTCTTTCTCTATGCTGCATAGAATTCCATTGTGTATATGTACCACAATTTTTTGATCCATTCATTTACTGACGGGCACCTTGGTTGCTTCCAACTCTTGGCTATTGTAAATTGTGCTGCTATGAACATTGTGGTGCATAGGTTCTTTGAAATTGATGTTTTAGGATTCTTGGGATATAATCCTAGCAGTGGAATTGCTGGGTCAAAAGGCAGGTCGATTTTTATTTTTCTGAGAAAATTCCATACTGTTTTCCATAATGGTTGTACCAGTCTGCAATCCCACCAACAGTGAACTAAGGACCCCTTTTCCCCACAACCTCTCCAACATTTGTTGTTGGTTGCTTTGTTTATGATAGCCATCCTGACTGGTGTAAAGTGGTATCTCATTGTGGTTTTAATTTGCATCTCTCTGATAGCTAACGATATTGAGCATCTCTTCATGTGTCTCTGGATGTTCTGTATGTCCTCCTTGGAGAAGTGTCTGTTCAAGTCCTTTTCCCATTTTTTAATTGGGTTGGGTGTCTTCTTAGAGTGGAGTTGTGTAAGTTCTTTGTATATTTTGGAGATTAAACCTTTGTCTGAGGTATCATTGGCAAATATGTTTTCCCATACAGTTGGTTGTCTTTTTAATTTAATACTGTTTTCTTTGGCCATGCAGAAGCTTTTTATTTTGATGAGATCCCATTTGTTTATTCTTTCCTGTATATTCCTTGCTCTAGGGGACATATTGGTAAAAATGTTGCTGCGTGGAATATCTGAGATTTTCTTGCTAATGTTCTCCTCTAGGACTTTAATGGTGTCACGGCTTATATTTAAGTCTTTTATCCACCTTGAATTTATTTTGGTGTATGGTGTAAGCTGGTGCTCAAGTTTCATTTTTTTGCACGTAGCTGTCCAGTTCTCCCAACACCATTTGTTGAAGAGGCTATCTTTACTCCATTTGATGTTACTGCCCCCTTCGTCAAATATTAATTGACTGTAGAGAGTTGGGTTGATTTCTGGGCTCTCTGTTCTGTTCCATTGGTCTATGTGCCTGTTTTTATGCCAGTACCAGGCTGTTTTGATTACAGTGACTTTGTAATACAGTTTTTAAAAATCACATTTTTGCTAAAATTTTCTGAAGCTTATTTTCAGATTCTTTTATTTGATGGCTTAATCATTCAAAACAATGTTACATTACATTAATTTGATACAGGAAAAAAATCTGTATATATATAGTAAAAGTGGAATCTCCTCCTTCTAAATCCCATATCACTAATACCCAGTAATACTAATTAGAAAACTCAGTTATTCTTTCCTTCCCTTATCTCCAGCTTTCAATAGGCTGTCAGGTTCTGTCAATTCTTTCCTTCATCCCTACTATACTGCTTTAATTCATTTCTATTTAGATCACTGCAACAAATTTCTAAATTGATTCCCCTGTCTTTAATCTTCCATCTACCAATGCAACTTCCATAAAGTAGAAAAAAGTAATCTTGCCCACAAAATGTATAAACAAGCAAAAATAATGCTAATAAAAGCTTGTTTAAAAAGCTGAAATTGCTTCAGAATAAAGTCTAAAATCCATGGCACTAAAGGCACTTCAAAATCAGGCCTCTCGATCAAAATAATTCCCCCTCACAAGAGGCTGGTATTTTACATCTTTCCCTGTAGGGCCATCTCTCATTTTCTGTCTGAGAAAATATCTACTAATCCTTAAATCCAGTTTAAATATAATGTCCTCCATTCGTACAATCCTCAGCTGAGGTAGGTGGTTCAGGTGTGTTCCCCTTAACACTCTGAACACACAGTTACTTGTTAATGCCACTGTTTTTTCCTTTAGACATGAATTCCTCTAGCACAGTGTCTGAACCTTCTTCTCTAAGCACAATGTCTTACTCATAGTAAAAATAATTTAAAATTGATTATAAAGAAATAAAATAGTATTATTCACTAAATCCATTTTTACTTTGGCAAATAAAAACTAATATTTTTCTTAGATTAAAAACCTTAAAAGATTTGACAGTACAGTAGTACCTTGTCTACATGGAAAATTAAATCCAGTTCACAGACATTTTCAAAACACTTGTCTAATGTTTCCACAAACACCTAAAAAAAAAAAAGAGAGAGAGAGAAAGGGTTAAAAGCTTTTGAGAACTAAGTAAATTCATTCAAATCTACTATCTACAAGGCAGACAATTCTTAGTTGTGAACAAAAACTTTTGTAAATCTATTATCAAACTTTTCTTTTTTAATTAAAAAAGTTGTATTAAGTGCAAAAGGAGTAATTATAGACTATTTTTCATGCAAGCTACTTTTCAATACATTAATATATAAAACACATCTTGCTGAAAATAGAACTAAGAAATAGAAATTCTTAGCACTGTTACTTACAAAAGCACTAAAAAAATACTCCCTATCCGAGCTCCCGATCCTCAAGTAAAAAAAAAAAAAAAAAGAAAGAAAGAAAGCTCATTAGAAGTATTTTCAGGATAGATGGGCATAGTTCACGTCTCTTTCACATCTAACATAGCCAGTAATTTCTAATTAGCAAATCAGTATAAAAGATGACTAAAAACTACTTATGGAAAGAACACAGACTTTGGAATTAGACTTACTGGGTTCCATCTCTGGCTTGAATACCTTGTATGACCTTGTATGGAAAAGGATTAACTCAGCAAACCTGGGTTTCTCAAACCCTACACCTTCCCCAAAATGGCCTGTTTTCAGACTAGCCTTTGGCTAGCCTCTGGGAACTGAGCCCTTGGAAAGCTGTCTGAAAAGAGTGTTTACATGCCTGAATCCTTGGGCCACAGTATGAACAGGCAGTTTATGCTATCAATGTGACATATAGCAAACATCTTTTCTCTGAGGTCCTGGAATTTAAGTACCAGGGTAGCCACACATGGGCAACATACCTATGTGATTGACTTCCAGTGAAAATCCTGGACACCCAGGCCAAGATGTGCTTCCCTGGTTGGGAACACTTCTCACATATCATCATGAAATCATTTCTGGGGGAGTTAAGCACATCTTGTGTGACTCCAGGGTGGGACATCTGGAAGCTTGCACATGGTTTCCTCCAGACTTCCCCCATGTACACGGATGATTGTACTCTGTTATCCTTTCACAATGAACCCTCACCATGAGCAGCAACTCTTGTCCTGTGAATGCTAGCAAATCATTCAGATGGTCTTGGAGACCTCTGATATAAACTATCAAAAATGAATCTCTAAAATGCCACCTTGCATAGTTGGCAATATCTATTCTATTCATATTTCTATTCCCACTACCCTTCTCAACAGTAGCTTTCACAAAGTAACCATTCTACCACCCAAACATGGGGGGTATTAAAAGAGAGCAGCTACTAATTACAATAATACTAATAGATACAATATTACAATAATATAATAGCCTTGAACAAGAGATGTAAACAAGGACTGTTCCAAGCAAACTGAAATGTATTGTTGTCCTATTCATAAGTAATCCAGTGGAACAAACAGTAAATTCTAAACAGCAGGTGTCTTGCTGTAACTGCTCTGACCTCAGGTCACTTTACACAGATCCACAATCCGAGGTTCCTTCCTGGCATCAATGAAGGTAAATAAGACAGATGAAACAATGTAGATACATAACTAGATGGCTATAATCAACATTGTCTTAGACCAAGGATACACAAACTTCTTTACAAGGAGCAGAAAAGTAAATATTTTAAGAGTTTTTTTGTTATACAGTGTAGCATAAAAGCAGCCATCGATAATACCTAAACAAATAAGCATGGATAGTGCTGTTCCAAAAAACTTTATTTACAAAAACAGGTGGCAGGGTGGATTTGATATGCAGGCTGTAGTTTGTTGACCCTTGACTTAGACCCGAGTCACTACGAAAAATAAGCAGTCTATAGTAACCAAGAATATACATTTTATTCATAATTTCATTTAAGAAAAGAAGACAGCTATTAAGATGACCAAGTGTGGAACATACACGGGTCAGCCTCAATTAAATTTCTACTTTATTTCAATTTTTTGAGGTAGGTAGAAAATAAATATCATTGAGTATCTACCCAAACTCCCAACTTTATTAATTTTCCCTCAAGGACTTGGTGACATGGCCCCTGAAATGACTTTATTCATTCTATTTTCAGCTAATTTAGATTCATTTTCCTTCTTGTTATAACGGATTCTTGTTATAAAGACTAAATGAGATAATGCTACTTGAACACAGAGTAAGCACTTCACACATATTAACTTTTTGGGGAAAGTAAGAATGGGATCAAAAAACAGAAAACTTCTCCCATTGAGAAAGAGGAAAATACTTACTTTGGAAACAGTGTCTTTAAATTGGAAATGGTCTTAATACTAATTTATGAAATCATAGTTAAATAAGTTACGGGAAATAAAGCTATTTAATGGTAAATTTTCACTGGAGTATGACATACAAAGAGAAAAATGCACAAATTGTAATAATGTACAACCTGATGAATTTTCACAAAGTAAACATATTTCTGTAACCAACACCCAAACCAAGTGTTAGAATATTACCAACACTGCAGAAGCCCCCTTATATTCTATCAGTTGCTACCACCATCAAAGGTAACATTACCCTAACACTATAATGTTTTGCCTGTTTCTGAACTATTTAAATGGGATCATGCAGTACATAATCTTTGAGATTGGATTCTTTATCATTATGTTAATACGATAGCTCACTCCTCCTTGTTGCGCAGTATACCATTGCATTAATATACCACAATGTATTTATCTATTCCACCATCATCAGAAATTTGAGGTGTTTCCAGAACTGGGCTGTTAGAATTATTACTGCTAAGAACATCCTTTTATGTATTTTTTAGTAAATTTATGCACACATATCTACTGAATGTATAGCTAGAGTAGAATTGCCAGGTCACAGAGTGGCATACATTCAGCTTTGTAAACAGTGCCATGTAGATTTTCAAATCTATAATAAAATTAAAATTTATACCCCAAATAGCAATACATGATAGTTCCCACAGTTCCATATCCTAACAATCTGTGTTATCAATATTTTAATTTTAGCCATTCTTATGGGTGTGTGGTGGTATGTGATTGTGATTATTAATTTCTACTTCCCTGATGGCTAAAGAGACTGAGCACAATTTCCTATTTATTGGCCATTTAGATATGCTTTTTGTGATGTCTGTTCAAGATTCCTGCTCCTTTTTTCTACTGGCCTTTTTCTTTTTCTTTCCTTTAATCTTCACCTGAAGATACATTCACTAATTTAGAGAGAGAGAAGGGTGGGGGAAAGAGAAAAACATCAATGTGAAAGAGAAACATCAATTGGTCGCCTCCAGTATGGTTCCTGACTGAGGTCTATTCTGCAACCTTTGGAGTACTGGACGATGCTCCAACCAGCTGAGTGACCCTGCCAGAGCTATAACTAATCTTTGTTATACCCAGTTTAAAGTAATCTTTGCCTACAACATGGTCAAGAAGATATTCTAAGAAGAAAACAAAAGCTTTAAGTTTTATTTTTCATGTTTGGACTGATCTGTCCAGAACTGATTTTTGTGTATGGTATGAGGTGGTCCTCCTAAATTTAAAACCGTTATTAGAGTTATTAATCAGAATAAAGTTGCCAGTATACCTTTTACTTTTTCATGCTTAGTTTTTTCAATTTCAGTGGTTTGACTGCCCATATGTTAGTATAGGCAGCTAAGTTAGTCCAGGAAGGGAGCAAATGGAATTGGACATTAAGACTGACTCACTAGGAAGCCACAGCATTCACGGTCCCCAAGGGACAGTAGCATCTTCTAACAAGCAATTTAATTCCTGAAGCAGGCAGGAAGAATTGGCTACCAGCCATTCGCTGGGATTACTGATGAAGGAATAAAAACAGCAGGGCAAATTCCTTAGCTAGACCACAAGTAGTAGAAGCTAAAATGACAGGGGCCTGCGGGGGGGTGGCGTCAGTGCATGCACAATGGGAACTAGATGGTGAGACAAAACTTTGAGGCATGCGCAGTAGGAGCCAAAATGGCGACATAGAGGGGTGGGGTTTAGCCTGAAAAACCTGGGATAGAGAGAAGTTTGGTTAGGGGAAGAGCTCAGCACAAGCCCTCCAAAGAATTAGGAAAGGAACTGATTAGTATGAAAAGCCTGCTCTCTCCCAAGCCCCAGATGATATAGTCAAAGCTTAACAAAGGCCTGGCTTGGTAGCATGAACACACGTTCGCTCCTCCATTCTTGCACTGTCTCTCTGGAGCTCAGCATTGGTTGCAGGCCAAGCACAGCCTTCGCAGCAATGTGCAGATGGAGAAATGAGACACAGAAGTTCTGCAACTCTGGGATACGGTCTTTCTCGGCCTACTTAGGGCAAGTGTAGGCCCGAGGCCGCAAAAGCTGGACTTTTCTCACAGTGGTTCGGAGGTGAACTATGTGACCACGGATGAGGCACGGGCAGCTAAAAAGTCCTTTAATTTTGCTCTAATAGATCTTACCACTACACCTGATCCTCCTGTGTGGGTCCCTGAAGTGCTTTTCTTGTGACTCTGTGGGAGAACCCTATTTCCACTGGCAACACATATATTGTAGCCATCCTTTTTTAACCATCAGAAGATGATTATCTTGGTGAAAATACTGTCTAAATAGTTTCACTTCATTTACTTTTATCTTAACAATTTAGTTAAATTATTTAAAGTGATCAGCATAATGCTTGTAACACATCTAATAAATGGAAGCCAGTATTATTTATTTGTATGTTCAAAACATGTGTTTACAAAATGAAAATAAAAAGAGAATTCTAATACAGCTGATAAATACAGATATAAAAGCAAGGTAAGTACACACTGAGACTGTCAAGGCTTTGTGATTTGCTTTTTAACTTAGAAAAAATGTTGTCAATATTTAAAACTGAACAATACCACCTATGAAAAATGTGAATACTCAAAAAAATAGTCATAATTGACTAAAAGCAAAATGTCATAATTATTGAAGTACATGTTCTTAATTTAGGAAAATAATTACAAAGAATTAATGCACTCAAATGTGAAATTTGGTTTAAAAAAAATAAAAGACCCTCTTCAAAAAACTTTCCATTACTTTTCTTTAGCTTTAGCAAAATTATTT